AAGAAAGAATACGTAAGATGACGACACTATCAGCCTGTACCTGTTGGACACGTCGGGTGTAAAACTATAGTAGGCTATCACGATATTAGTTTTGTTTTGTCAGACAGACGAGAGGTGGTTTCCACTAGTTATTGTTCGTTAGCCTACCAGTTTCATGTCCGTTTATATTGTCTTAGTGATTGATTCGGACCAATCACAACGTGACCCTGTAAATATTTCCACACAAAAAAAATGTTCACACACCCAACGCAAGACAGTGAAACGAGTCGTGATGACGGAACTATGTTGAGATAGATAAACCGGTTATGAGCGGTTATTTGACAATCGAAGTCCAATTAGAGGTGGGGGGAGGTTTAGTCCGCCAAGAACAAAAGATCCCCTGGGTGTAAGAAAAACTCGAACCATTCTGGGTCCAAAAGGCGCCTTTTCTCCCCGAGGCGACACCACACTTGTCCTTTTTGACGCCACGAATAGTCCGAGTTCGAGGCTGTGGCGCCGGACCTTGGCGCAGCCACACCTTCCCGTTTTCTCTCTCTACATTGTCGAAAAGTCTTTTCGACGACCGACTGGTACAGAGGGGGAGGTGAAACAACTTCATGACACGACTAGTCGAAATGAGGACACGAATGACTGTAGCCATCATTATTCTCTATGACAAAGATAGTGTTAATACGTATTTTTCACCGACCAACCCTGGGCGTGGGGTTAATCCCCGAGTTACTCGATATCAGGCGGAGCGGGGAAGACAAGCTACCACACTATAGTGTTCATCCTACAACTCTAAAAAACTACCAGCGCTCCCCACTCCGACATTAGTTGTAGACCGCATTACTGGGGGAACATTCCATCGCGGAAAAAACAGATTAGTTTTCCACAACTAATTCTGCCAGACATGGTGGGGGGGCAAGAGAGTTGGAGACAGAGGGTGGGCAGGGGGGAGTGTGGGGAAGGAAGAGGAGTGGAAGGAAACTGAACACTACAGTCTTCTGTCACCCCACACCCAAATGTGCCTGTAGAAAACGGCTAATGCCACAATAGGATAGCAACAACAAGTAGTCAAGATAGTCAGTTTAGCTTTGGTTGCTATGCTAACATCACCTATTTTATACGAGAGAAATTTTCATAACAGCGTTGTTATGCCAAACAGCATCAATTCAGACTGACACACATTCACTTATGGGGAATTGTGGATATTTATCAGCTGCTTGTGTGACAGTCAAACAGTGAATACTTTACAGCGGCCGCTGTCATGAGTAAACTCCGGTGGACGATCAGCACTGCAGCGGTCGGTAAATGCAGCTGAAACACATTAATAAACAATGAACCACGGCACTCTGGAGCAGCATCGGCAGCACCAGTCGGGCTCTGGGAGGTGTGCACAAAACGGGGGCTGAAAAGAAAGACCGGTTCCGAACCAGAAGAGCGCAAGCATGGAGCTAGAACGGGAGCTGCGTTGGTGTGAAAGGGGCATTTGATAGATAGAGGATTAGGAGTGTCGGGGGAGGGCAGTGGTGAGGGAAAGTGGGACACTGTAGGGGAGGAGGACGTGGAGGTGTGAGACTGAGGCCACATGGAGACGAAAACGAACCGAATTCGATATAAAAAGTATTCCGTCCACAAAGAATCGGCTCAAGAAACGTGTCCGTCCACACGAGACCGCTCGACACGCTGGAAAGACTGTAGTACATATGCCGGGCCTGTAAGTGGCGCTGTACTTCCGCCACAAAATACACCAAAAGCAGCGAATAAGACCCCCCGAGCATGGTTGCCATGGTTGCCTAGTTGCCCTTCTGTTTATTCTCCGTGGTGGATTTAGCAACATGTAGTTCATGTAGTTCTCCATGTCCACTTGTTGCTGATGGTTGTGGTAGAGGAGCTGTAGATTTTGCACTAGCATCTGTAGCATGGTCAGTAGCGTCTTGAGCACGAAAGCAACCCTGTGATCCGCCATTGTTGTTGTTGTTGGCGAAACACATTAGCAATGCCGCGGGTGATGCCGGGGTGAGCAGCAGAGGTGGGGGGAGGCGGGGCTATGGCGTCATCGTTATCAAGAAATGATCGTATAGGACAGGGGTATTCAACTAAAATTCAACGAGGTCCAGTTAGAGAAAATCTCCCCATGCAAAGGTCCGGAACATCAAAATGTCTAACTTGCTTTATGAATTAGTGTGGTATATATTGAAGTGAGCTGTAGCTTTATCAACGTCTGCATGTAATCAACAACTGACTGCCAATCAAATAAAGACAGTACAATTCAAAAACAACACCATTTATTGTCAATTAACATTGAACTATACAGATATACAGTAAATACTGTGGATATGTGTAATGTTCATCTCGGGCTGCATTTAAAAATTAAATAGAGAAAATAAATAAAATAGCTTTTGAAAATATGGGGAATACATTTTTTTTAAATATTGAAGTTGAAATCATCAATCTGGTGCACTTTGAGAGCAAAATGAAGAGATCTATGGATTCATCTTTCAACACCCATATGAAACAGAACTGTAAGCAGATTTTTTTTTATATGGATATTTTACAAATCACTCCCCTTTCAAACTCTATTCTTGTTATTTTTAACAACTTTTTTGTTACTGTTATATAGTATTTTATACCTGTTTTTTTTTATTAGTCTCATTAATAACTATAATGATCATATCAAGGTGTGCCTTAACCTCACTGAGCTGAGGTTATTTGAGCCTCTCAGGAGAGAGCTCTCTTCCACCTGGTTGTAGAAAAGCTCTTTAAATTCGTTAGCAAAGCTAGCTAACCAGATGCTAATAACAACAGATTGCCACTGTGCTTACAACTAAAGACACAGCCACGCAAACACTGCAGCATGTGTACGGCTCCTTATGGGTACTACTGCAATATTTGAAGGGCTGGAGCGGCGTTCCGGTGCTCTCCGTCAGCACTCCTTGCTCCAGACGAGACATAACCACGTGAAGACACGTTACGCTCGTATTGTGTTCAAGGAACCTGTCCTTAGCCAGGAAAAACAGGCTATCGCTTGTTTAATTATTTTGCGATCTACATTTCTTCCCCCCTAAAACGAAAACTCTTCGGTTCTCCACGAATTACACAAGTCACCCAAAGCAGCGTTCAAAAAGCGGGAGGCGCCGAAAAGCGACTAATTTGCATCACTGTATTTTAATTATTTTATCCGTTTTATTGTGTTGCACTGCTGGAGGAGCCTGTGACCTAAGATTTTCATTGACATATCTACACTGTATCTGTGTCCACGTGAAAATAAAGCCTTGAATCTTGAATCTTGTCTCCTACCCGTGTAGCCCATGAACTTCCCGGGGATCTCCTGGTTGCAGCAGCGGCTGCAGAAGATCTGTCCGCACAGTCTGCAGTGGTGTCGGCGGCGGAAGGTCGTGAACTTCTCATTGCAGTCGTAACACTCTTTGCACTGGCTGTCCGGCATCCAGTACTGCTTCAGATCGCTGTCCTGAGGAGCCACACACACCACAGGACACTGCTTCACAGCTCCAAATATAGCATACATGTGTTTACTGCTGAGCCAATGGTTGTACATATGCTGTAGGAGCCATGAAACGTACAAAGTAATGCATTTTGTTTTAAGATAAATGAGTTTTGTACTAGTTTATATTTGGGTAATGGTTTGTATTATTATTATTATAAGATATTTGTTTGATCGTAATGGGTCACATGGTTATGGGCGGGTGTGTGTGTGTGTGTGTGTGTGTGTGTGTGTGTGTGTGTGTGTGTGTGTGTGTGTGTGTGTGTGTGTGTGTGTGTGTGTGTGTGTGTGTGTGGAAGAGAGGGTGACAGGGTCATTTTGTTGACCGCAAGCTTTAGGATTGCTTTGATCATTATTACAATGTCTATGTCTACGCTAAATAAGTTGATCATCTCATTTTTCGTTAAACTACATTATTATTCACTACAATTTCTACTTTTCAGCAAGTACTTTTTTGATAACGTGTCACACAATAGACTGTTTGTTTCCTGATGTCCAGATGTTCAAATGAAGGTGATTGTAAAGGTGTGATACCTGGCTCTTCCCCTCCATTATCTCCTTCAGCCTCTTCAGTGCAGTGCGGAGCTGCACCGCTGTGCGAGGGTCGTGGTTACTGAGAGGCGTGTCTGACTTCCTGCTGCCATCTGGAAGCATGCATGTATGCACAAACACAAAGAGCACACATAAACACAAGAATGAAAAAAATGAACCCATCCGTCCTGCTGCATTGTCAAATATGCTTTTTCTTTTTTTATAAATATATTGAATGTGAGGTGAAAATTAAAGTCCTGCATTTAACATGAAAGCTACTGTAAGGGACAAACATTTGACAATGCACTCAAACACCTCAGGAATAACTTGCAAATGTGTATAAAAGAACACATGATGCAATAATACAAATAAACGAAAACGTGTTAGAAATGTTAGCTTTAAAGTCAGTCACATCATTCCAGGTGTTATTATTAGTACCTGAGTGGAACACTTGAAGGCAAACCAAAGACTAATAATAAGCGCTTCATTAAAAATGCAGATATTAAAACAATCGCATGCACTGAACACAGTTTAAGGCCACTCTGTTAAAGTCAAGCTAAAAGCATATTTAGTAAAAACCACACAGAGCAGAAGACCCTCACCTGGCCAATCCACTGTAATCAGAAAAGACATGAGAACCACGTTACAGCCATTTCATTTCACCCCAAACATCATATTTAGTATGGTTTTCAATTATCACAAAATCTCCTCTTTTTTTGCAGCAGATTTATCTGAAAATAAAAATATGTATTGCAACTTCTCTGTCTGTTATCGGGCTGCAAGATTTACAAAAAACAAGTTTGTAGAATACAAGGACTTCTGTGCCAAAGACCACATCTTCCACTTTTTTGCACGGGACCATATAAAGATTTCAATAACATTTTGATTAATTTTGCAGCCTTACTTTAGGCGCTTTCACACCGGAGTACTTTTCTCAGTATAGTTCCGATAAAATTCCGAAAATGTGCATTCACACCAAAAAAATCCAGAACTAGAACTTAGTTCATGAGAACCTTTCCACCCCCTTTTCAGTCCCTGCTAGAGAGCAGGTACTTTCATGGGAGAAAAGGTTCCCATTTCTGATTGGCTGGGCGGATTGCAAACCACGCTCCGTAAAACTCTCAAAAAGTTTTGTGAAGCCGCCATTTTATTTTCCTCGCATTAGCATTATTAGCATTAGCATTATTAGCATTAGCCCAGCACACCAACGGAGAGAGAATAACTTATGGCAACACAAAAGAAAACATGGGAGCGGTGGAGTGATGAGGAGGTGTCGGCGTTCTGGCGATTTACTCTGAAGGCTTCAGTAGAAGCTGCTGGGAGTCATTTTTAATGTTTTGGGGGCGTCAGAAACTTACTTATAAGGAGTTTTGAAGAGACTCAAGTGACACAACTAAGGCAGAACTAAGCAATAATATAATCCTCTGAATCACAAAAGTAAAACAGACATACGTCAGGTACCTTGTCTGCTATAGAAAGGACGGTGTAAATAATGAGGAAGTCAGGACGTAACCGACCACCCAAAAGACGCTACTACACCTCTTTCGGTACCGAAAAAAACTAATTAGAATAGCGTTAACTAATGAAAAGGAAAGTGGTAAATTACTTTCAATAGTCGAGATCACTGTGTAAGAATTTCGATAATACGTTTTAGGGAGAAGAAGTAGTTGTACGCAGGGAGAAGAAGGTAAGAGAAGATGTAGTTGTACCGACAGGGGAGAAGAAGTACAGAGAAGATGTAGTTGTCACCCAGGGAGAAGAAGTACAGGAGAAGATGTAGTTGTACACGGGGGTTTAGAAGAAGTACAGAGAAGATGTAGTTGTACACAGGGGGGAGAAGATGTACAGAGAAGATGGTAGTGGTACACAGGGGAGAAGAAGTACAGAGAAGATGTAGTTGTACACAGGGGAGAAGAAAGTACAGAGAAGATGTAGTTGTACACAGGGGGAGGAAGAAGTACAAGAGGAGATGTAGTTGTACACCAGGGGAGGGAAGAAGTACAGGGAAGATTGCTTAGTTGTACGAGGGAGAAGAAGTAACAGAGAAGGATGTAGTTGAGCTACCAGGGAGAAGAAGGTACAGAGAAGATGTATTGGGTACACATGGGGGAGAAGGAAGTTCAGAGAATGGATGTAGTTGTACACAGGGGAGAAGAGGTTACAGAGAAGATGTTAGTTGTACACAGGGGAGAAGAGGTACAGGAGAAGGATGTAGTTGTACACAGGGGGAGAAGAGTACAGAGAAGATGTAGGTTGCTACACCAGGGAGAAGAGTACAGGAGAAGTGTAGTTGTACCAGGGGGGAAGAAGTTACAGAGAAGATGTAGTCTGTACACAGGGGGAGAAGAGGTACAGAGAAGATGTGTAGTGTCCACCAGGGGAGAAGAAGTACAGAGAAAGATGTGTTGTACCACAGGGGAGAAGAAGTACAGGAGGGAAGATGGGTAGGTTGTACACAGGGGAGAAAGAAGTACAGAGAAGATGTAGTTTGTACACAGGGGAGAGAAGTACAGAGAAGATTGTTAGTTGTACACAGGGGGGAGACACCTTCTTCTGAGGACTTTCAAAGTCCTTGTTTCTAAGAGAGAGAAAAACTTAGGGTAAAGATAGGTTTTGGAAAGACTTTTACTCGACTGTCTAAACCGGTGAAATACTACAGTATTGCATACCAAAAACAGACGACCATTTTTGGAATTCGGTTAGTCGTTGGTTTCCATTAGGGGGAGGAAGTGGAATAGTGGGACTTAGAGGGAGGATCTCGTGGTAACTCAAGAAAAATTGGTTTAGAGAGAGTCTCCCCGGGCACCCCTCCCAGGGGAGGATAAAAGGTAGATTATCATTGGTCTGTCTCTTAGATCGTGAAACCTTTGTCCGACTTTGTCTTCCCCTAATACCCATTACGCGGTACTAGACAAACCCACCAAATTTCGGTTAGTCGGTCTTGTCCCAAGACAGATATATAGACTTGGACATTTATAACTACTGTTGTCATGTTATTCCCCGGAAATTCTACAAAGACACAACGGAGACGTCGGGCCTGTCGTCACTCTACCGACGACTACTATTCAGGAACAGAAGGGAGGGAGATTCCTAACCCCCCCCCCCTTTTTTCGGGCCAAAACCCCCCTAGGGCGGCAGTAGGAGCGGTTGTTCGGGAGGGGTGGAGTGTGTGAAGTTTGGTGAGACTGAGGCCTCAGTTTTCTGGCTGGGGCCCCCGTAGGGCGAGCCGCATGGTCGGAGCAAACAGTTGGACAAAGGGCGAAGTCGTCGTTTCCAGTCCTCTCTGTCGTAAGAATAGTTTCGAAATCTTACTTTCGACGGTAAGATATAAACAACAA